GCTGACAGTCTTTTGTACAACCTGTGTATATAAAGTCCTGTTATGGTGACAGTCTTTTGTACAACCTGTGTATATAAGGTCCTGTTAAGGTGACAGTCTTTTGTACAACCTGTGTATACAAGGTCCTGTTAAGCTGACAGTCTTTTGTACAAATTGTGTATATAAGGTCCTGTTAAGCTGACAGTCTTTTGTACAAATTGTGTATATAAAGTCCTGTTAAGGTGACAGTCTTTTGTACAACCTGTGTATATAAGGTCCTGTTAAGCTAAAAGACTTTTGTACAACCTGTGTATATAAGGTCCTGTTAAGGTGACAGTCTTTTGTACAAATTGTGTATATAAGGTCCTGTTAAGGTGACAGTCTTTTGTACAACCTGTGTATATAAGGTCCTGTTAAGCTGACAGTCTTTTGTACAAATTGTGTATATAAGGTCCTGTTAAGCTGTCAGTCTTTTGTACAACCTATGTATATAAGGTCCTGTTAAGGTGACAGTCATTTGTACAAATTGTGTATATAAGGTCCTGTTAAGCTGACAGTCTTTTGTGCAACCTGTGTATATAAGGTCCTGTTAAGCTGACAGTCTTTTGTACAACCTGTGTATATAAGGTCCTGTTAAGCTGACAGTCTTTTATACAAATTGTGTATATAAGGTCCTGTTAAGGTGACAGTCTTTTGTACAACCTGTGTATATAAGGTCCTGTTAAGGTGACAGTCTTTTGTACAACCTGTGTATATAAGGTTCTGTTAAGCTGACAGTCTTTTGTACAACCTGTGTATATAAAGTCCTGTTATGGTGACAGTCTTTTGTACAACCTGTGTATATAAGGTCCTGTTAAGGTGACAGTCTTTTGTACAACCTGTGTATATAAGGTCCTGTTAAGCTGAAGTCTTTTGTACAACCTGTGTATATAAGGTCCTGTTAAGCTGAAGTCTTTTGTACAACCTGTGTATATAAGGTCCTGTTAAGGTGACAGTCTTTTGTACAACCTGTGTATATAAGGTCCTGTTAAGCTGACAGTCATTTGTACAACTTGTTACATGGCAGTTTGATAATCAACACGGCAAAATAAATTAAATATGACGATTCTGTTTTGGTTGATTAGTCAGTTGTGCCTGCTCCTGTCAGGTGTATTGTTGTCATTTCGATTGATGCTGCGTCGCTGTTGAGATGAATTTACTGGTTATGCCGTGGTTGCTTGGAAAAGGCACACAAGGTAAATAGTAACGACTGTACAGTAGTTACCAACTTTGATTTACTATCTTATTTGATGTTTGTGTTAATGTTATACAAATCAAACATTTCGCCTGTATATATGTATATGGTTGTTATAAGTACCGTCCTAAGACGCCTAGAGGCCGACCTACATTGATTTTCCTCGTTGTCGTGGTAATTACGATTTCCCAACAAACTATTGGCTTTCATAGGGGAACGCATTGACACCTCTTTTGGCTCTTTTAAGAAGTTTTACGATTGTCATAATGAATTCATCACAAAACGAAGTGGATGACTTGATGGTTTTACTCCGTTCAGGTGGCAAGTGCCCAGGATTGGTTATGATATATAAGGCCGTGACTCAAAAATCGTTGGTCACATCGAACTGATACAGAGTGTAAATATTGATCGCCATGTCTAGATTTGTTTGAGACATTTTTTTACCCAAATCTAGAATAATCGCAGCAAGAATTGAAATTTTAATGTTGTCAATTTTTGCTGAAAATTAATATATAGATGTGGTTTTAAATAAGGAACACAACTTTAAAATGATCTTTTTTTATAACAATGATCATAGTTGCCAAAATGTTTGAATCTTTAATATTGTTAATGGTGTATGTCACAGGGCTCAAATTAGGTCTATTATATTAATAAATTGTCCACTGTTGTTTGCTAGAGTCTGCTGACTGGCCTTTGGCTTGCCCAAGTCATGCATGCCTGCCTCTGTGATCTGGAGTTTGTAGACCAGAGGTCTTTTCCTGGTTGCTCAAATGTTTATTACAGTAAACAAGCGGTTAGTAAAGAAGTCAAAATGTTGCCGTTGAAAATACAAGAGCGTTAAAGGCAAAATTAATTCTCGAAATATTTCATTCTGGCCTTTCACAACAAACCACAATTACGAAATAATCAAAATTGTTTCCAAATTTGGTTTTTTTTTTTTAATTTGAAAAATTATCACTAACCACTGCAATCAGCCTTTGGACAACCAGGACCAGGTAGTATGCTCTATTACAGATAGGCTCAGCTGTTAAGTAGAATTATTTGCTACATCAATTAACATTAGTTTGGAAAAGCAGACGTTGTTTTGGTGACTAACATGTCGATCTCCGTTACAAGTAACGCTTGCTATTATTACATACCGCTGAAAAGTTTATGTTTTTTTTTTATTTATATTTCATTCTGTTCAAAATGACTAAGAAGTGTTTTTTAAGTATCCTTCTATTGGCCGGGTGGTGGGGATGGGGCGGGGGGGGGGGGGGGCAGGGGAGGGGTTGTTGCGGGGTCGGGTGACACATAATACAGCTGTTGTGATGAAACAAAAACAAAAAACATGTGTGTTGGATAACGATTTTGGTAAATGATTTGGTATCAAGTCTGTGATCGATGAAAATGAAGAACGCTTGAAACATGTAGAAATGATGGCTTCGATTTTATTCCAGAAAAGCAATACTTCAAGTATGTCGCTAACACGCAGAAGTCAAACGAAGTACAACATGTTGATCGATGTATGTATGTAGATCAGACTACGGATGTGAGCATGTATGTAGTGAAAATCTTTGGGGAACTAGAGACGGTAAAATTCCTAGCATTGTACTGTGTGAATCGCTCAGCGATGTAAACACTTCCGACATCTTGAAACGTTCAGCATACGACACAGAGGTAGCAGTAAACAGTTAATTTGCATTTTTCCTGAAATTATTTGTCATGTTTGAGATATACAGGTATAGCAGATTGGTTATGGAAAATACATCATTACATGTATATATATTTATAAACTATATAACAATTACATTAACAGTAGAGAGATGAAATTTGTGTAAAAAAAAATTTCCTCTGATTTCTGACATTTGATTGTCATGGTTACCTACTGAAAAAATGCTAAAAATGCAAAAATACTGCTAATTCCAACCCAACACTACAACTTTCTAGGAGAAATTTAATTCTAAACACCTATCTTACAATCAACAACACTGTCATGGTAACAAAGTACTTACATTTCAGCAAATTCCAACTCGGAAATTCTTCATAACATGACCACATGTGAACACTATGAAAATTTCACTTCCTGTAAAGCTAGTTTTTGGTGCGTAGACACAGATTCGAGACTGCCCAAATAGTAATCTCCAACACAAAGCTAAAATATTATCCTGAAAAAAATGAAACCCCACATTGTCCACTTTAACATGACAGGACCAATTTTAGCAAGGATTTTTTTTTTCATTTTTAATTAAAACCTTTATAATGGGGTAATCTAAAGAGCAAAAAAATCACACCATGGCCACACCGAGAAACTGTGTACTGCTACCAGAAAATGGAAATCCCCGCTACCAACTATAGACAAGAGTTCCGCGAAGAGGGATAACTCTGTTACACTAACATGACACTCCCCGTCTGATTTCTAAGGTAGCAGTAAACAGTTAAATGGCCAATTTCTGAAAAATAAGGGACACATTCCAGATAATTACACACAGTAGATTAACCGTGCAAATCAGACATATAAAAGTATATATTTTCATAAACTACACACCACATGCAGTTCTAATACACAATAGAGCATTTTCTAAATACATGTTTACTCTGTATTAAACACTGTTGAAAACCATGGTTACCACATTAAAAAACACTGAAAATAGCAAAATATTGTGATTTTTGACTGAAAATCTCACAAAGTCAGACAGAAATTTGAAGTATGACACATATCAACAATTTATCACTACATACCTGAGAGCAGAATGATTTATGTTTCAGGAAAATGTAACTCGGAAATTTTTCACAACATTACCTCGTGTCCAGACATCAGAATTTGGCTGCCAGTAAAGCTAGCTTTTTCTGTATAGGTACACTTTCGTATAATGGCCAAAATTGTAATCTCAAACTAGGTACATTTTTTTTTTTTATGTAAAACCCCAATATCCAACATCATCATGAATATACCAAATTTTGCCCCCTTTTTTTTCATTTTTTCTACATGCATTTACACAGATGTTCTCTATTGTACAAAAAAATCACCCATGGCCACACCAAGAAGCTGTGTACTGCTACCTAATCACTCAAGTTCATGAAAAGTTTCACAAGCTCTATAACTTAGGTCGAAATACGAATCGAGTCAACAGCAACTAAACACTGAAAAAACATAAATCAATATAGCTGAGTTCATAATCTGCCATTGCACAGTCTCTGCATCTAAATGTCACAACAGTTCGCATCACACTTGGCACTAATACACGAAAAAGTTATTCACAGGAATCAAGCAGCGGAATCACTCCCGAAATGGGTCGAATGAAAACACTAGGTTTTCCGTCTTTCACATCCCGGATCTCTAGTTTACGCACTAGTCCGTCATCACTCGGAAAGATTTTGGTAACAGGACCAGTCGGCCACGAAAGACGGGGACATTCCTTGTCCCGGAGAAACACAACAACATCACCCACTTTATGATTAACAGTCTCTAAGTTCCACTTAGAACGAGCTTGAGCAAACAGAAATTCCGATTTCCAGCGTTTCCAAAACGTGTTCGCCATGACCTGGACCATTCACCACTGCGAGCGGTACATATCCTTGATACTTAAGTCCTGCGGGACGATTATGTCGTCACTGGTCTTCTGAGTAAGTAACTTTCCTGGCGACAGCAAATGAGACATCTCGCAATCCGAAGAAACAGCAACCAAAGGTCTAGAATTCATTATAGCAGCAACCTCGGCCATGAAAGTCGCTAGCACTTCATCTGTCAGCTGTCCATGTTTGACGTCAAAAAGCATCGCGTCGAGAATGCGTCGGGCTATTCCTATCATTCTCTCCCATACTCCGCCGAAATGAGATGCATGGGGGGATTAAATCTCCAGATCATGTTGTTGGTGTCCAGGTAAGTTTTCACTTGAGGATCTCCCACGTTGATAGAGTGAATTCCAAGCTCATTGACCGCTCCTACAAAATTACTACCGCAATCTGAGCGGAACTCCGAAACTTTATCTCGGACGGCAATGAACCTCCGCATGGCGTTGATGAATGATAATGACGTCATCTCTGCGATGATCTTAATGTGGACTGCTCGGCTGTACAAACAGGTAAAGAGGACTGCCCATCGTTTCGAACTTGCGTTTCCGCCTCTTGTACGTCGAGTGATGATGTTCCAAGGACCGAATACATCAACACCAACCAGTGTGAATGGCGGTGAAGGAGTCAGGCGATCTGCAGGCAGATCCGACATTTTCTGAGAGGAAAACTTCCCGCGTGGTCTGCGACATGTCACACAGTGATGTATCGTGGAAGCAATCAGACGTTTTGCTCCGGTTACCCAAAGTCCAGCATTACGAATTGCACCTTCGGTCATGTGGCGTCCTTGATGTTGTACCTGCAAGTGGTGATGTTGCACAAGGAGCTTGGCAATATGACTGCGACCTGGTATCAAGATGGGATTTTTCTCGGTCTCATGAAAGTCACCTCGTTTAATGCGTCCACCAACCCGCAGCAGTCCCTTCTCATCAAGGTGAGGATTCAAGCAAAGCACAGAGCTATCCTTAGGCAAAGACTTTGAAGAACGAAGCGCTTGAATTTCTTTACTGAAGTAGGTCATCTGGAGCTCTTTGATGACGAAAAGCTCAACCTTGCGTCTGGTAAGATCATTCTGGATATTGAAACGACTCTTCAACCGAACTCGTATAGTACGAATAGCACGCACAAGGCTGTTCCAACTGGAGAAACGATTGAATCTAGATGTTCCCAGTGTAGTACGTATGTTAGTCTTCCACGAGTGAACATCAGGTCGTACTTCTTTGTCCGATTCTGGCTCCACCAAAGAATATTCGACATCAAGATCAGGGCTGATGTGATTGCGAAGGAAGGATGGTCCATTAAACCACAGACTGTAAGCAAACTGCTCTGGGGAGAAACGACGTGTCCCCTCATCGGCTGAATTCTCCTCTGTAGGTACATACTGCCACTGTGTAGGTGAGGAAATTTTCCTTATTCTAGCGACTCTGTTGGAAACGTAAACATAGAATCTCCTACGTTCATTTGAAAGATATCCAAGCACTACTCGGCTGTCGGTATAATAACGCAGGTGATCGAGGGGAATGTCCAACTGTTCCGAAAGCATCTCGCCGATTTCGGTAGCCAAAACAGCAGCACATAACTCGAGGCGCGGTATTGTGTGGCCGTGCTTCGGCGCAACCTTCGACTTCCCGATGACAAATCCAGTGAAGACCTCTCCATCCTCGTCGATACCTCTGAGGAATGCACATGCAGCTACTGCTAACTCAGATGCGTCAGAGAAGATATGCAAAGTTCTTGTAATACACTTCGAGAAAGACACAGTCAGGAAACATCTAAGGATATGTATATCACAAAGGTTGCTCAGCTGTTCAGTCCAAGACCTCCAAACCTTCTCAGTGTGAGGCAATAAGGGATCGTCCCAGTCATTTGCTTCATTCACAGCATCACGCATAATAATATTTCCCTTGATGATAATCGGCGCCAAGAAGCCCAATGGATCGAAAATCCCATTCACCGTTGAAAGAAGACCTCGCTTTGTGAACGGTTTCTGGTTTTCAGATGTGTGGTAAGTAAAGGTATCTGTGGATAGTTCCCATGCCATACCCAGGCTATAATGGAGTGGCGGTTCATCATATGTCAAGTCTAGTGGCTCTAATGTCTTAGCCAAATTAGCAGCAGGAAACTGTGACATCACCTCTTCACTACTGGATGCAATTTTGTGGAGTTTCAGGTTCCCGCCTTCCAACAGTACTCTCTGAGCTCTCTTAAGAACGTCGACCGCCTCGGTTACTGTGGGAAAGGACATTAAACCGTCATCAACGTAAAATTGCGAATCACGAACTCCTGCAAGTCCACGTCACAAGGATTGCCACAATCTTCAACACATCTCCGTAGACCGTAGGTCGCAACAGCTGGCGAAGGACTGTTGCCAAAAACATGTACACACATTCTGTACTCTATCAAAGGTTGATCAACGTCGTTTTCGGCGTGCCAGAAAAATCTGAGGTAATCCCGTCGGCATTCGTCGACATAAAATCCGAAGAACATCTGTTGTATATCTGCTACCACAGCAACTGTCTCTTTCCTGAACCTGAACAGAACACCATCTAGTCGATTCATCAAGTCAGGGCCTTGCATCAAGACATCAAGAGATACCATACTTCAGAGTCATCTGCTACTGGTGGTTCTACCTTTGCATGATCGGAAGTCAGGATTCGTTCCATGAACTTGACAAAATGCTCGCGTTTTACAGGGTTGTTCCGAAGACTGGATTGTAACATGAGTACTTGTTTCAATGCCACATGTCTGTTGTTGGGAAGTACAGGCTTGGGTTCCCTGAAAGGAAGAGGAGCTGTCCAATTGCCTGAAGAAGTTTTCTTGAACTCTTTATCCATGAGATGTATGAATTGTTCGTCCTCGATAGATGGTCCAATGTTATTATCATTACAGTCCCGAACGAAAAGATTGCTGTCATCCATTTTCAAGGAGATCTGTGAGCAAACGGTGTACCTTTAGGACCTGTACGTTGATCTTCTGTGTGATGGGCCTCTGGCAGGTCTCGACCAATCAGCAGAAGGATGGGGGCATCCGGATCGTAAGGAGGAATCGGAACATCTCTAAGATGATTGTGGTATCGAGTAATTTCTGGCGTAGGAATCTCGCTTCTCTCATCTGGGATAGCGCTACATTCTGTGATAATTGGCAGATCCAGTTTAGAAGTACCATCAGCTGACTCAATGACAAATCCTTTCGCTTGCCTACCACTCATAGTTGTCTATCCTGCGCAAGAGGTGAGAGTATAAGTTGTCATTGTCGACATGGGTATGTTCATCCTATCGAAAAACTCCGCTCTCGCTAAAGTTGAGGTACTCTGATCGTCGAGTAGAGCATACAATCGGATACGAAGATGAAGCTTCCCCACTGGATATACGTTTACCAGACACGCTTTCGCACATCAACGCCCGTTGAAGTTTTGACCACATACAGATGTACATTTGGTTACCAAGGATTCCTCCCCGCCATGGTTTTGTTCAGGGGCCGAAGATTTCCTATCTTGAATAGTTGCCTTACGTTGGGAAGAATTGGCATCTATGTGCATTGCAGTGGCATGATTAGTGTTCCCACAAGTGTCGCACTTCACTATGGCTTCGCAAGTTCTGTAACTGTGGTCCGTCGACAAACAACACTTGAAGCAAAATCCGTAATCCTTCAACAGTTTTCTCCTCTCGTTAAGGGTTAATTTCTGGAAGGATTTGCACTGGTTGAGGTTGTGTCTTGCATCGTGCAGCATACAATGGTTATTATAGTCATGGTTAGCGTCAATGGCAGTTTTCTTGACTCGTACATTGTCTTTGCGGTATGGCGGCTCTCGTTTTTGTACATCCGTGGAGTTAACGTTGTTGCGGTTAGGAGCGCTAGAGGTACGTTGACTGGTTTATTGATAAGTAAACCCGAGGTCGTTCCGTACGCGACTCATCTCGTTGATAAATTCTACCAAGAACGTGAACGGCGGATAAGTCACTTGATAAGACGCGTTGTAGCTCGAGGCACGAGAAGTCCACTTCTCCTGTAGATTGAAGGGGAGCTTAGATATGATAGGTCGCATACCTGTAGATGAATCGAAAAAGCTCAGTGAACGACTGTACACGGGATCCTTCATCCTGGACAGTATTTCGGAAAGTAGATCAGCCAAATCATACAATCGAGCATTGTCTTTGGGTGTCAGTTGGGGGAATGCATCTATGCGGGCCTTCAAGGATGTCTCTAGAAGTACAGGACGTCCATATCGCTCATCTAAACGTTTCCAAACCATCTCAACGGCACGTGAAGGACAATTGGCATTCGCAGACCTTATACTAATCGTATGCTGTTTAGATTTGGGTCCCAGGTATTTCAACAGCAAATCTAGTTCCTCCCTAGGATTTGTTCTCAGTTCTGCCTTGAGGATGTCGAAACTGATCTTCCAGGATTGATACGTCTCGAGCTTATCGTCGAATTCTATCAGCCGCAGAGGTAACATTTCACGCTTCATCAGATAATTGGAAAATGCTTTCATTTCGTTGGCAATTGGATTTCTCCCATGAACATTAAGTGCACTGGATACATCGGGGGGTATGTGAGTGACCTGAGGAGGTACTTGAGTACTACAACTTGGTAATGGAGCAGCAGGCATGCTGGTACGTAATAAACTCGATATCAAGCTGGTAGGATTAGTTACCATAACAGAACACGGGGCAGTAGTAACCACAGTCTGAGGGATAGGTGCAGGATTTATCGTAGCACTAGAATATTGAAAAGTTTGATGTACATGTTCCTCACCCATAGGGGCTTTGTTCTCGTCAAATGCAGTAGGAATAGGGGATGAGATGGAATGACTAGGTTGCTGTATCGCTGTCGGTGCATTCATTGTCGACACGATAGGATTACCAAGATCCGCGGGTTGTGCACGAGCAGTGTGGATCGCATGGTCAGGTTGGGTATTGACCTGTATATTACCGTAGTGTCTAGATTCATGGAATCAAAATAGCGATTCATACTGTCGCTTCTGTTGACGTTATCCGAGCTACTTTTTCGGTCATCATACAGCTCTTCCTTCATACCGGCATACTCTGCACTCGCGACTGCAGCCTCCTTTTCTACTTCTAGTAGTTCCATCTTGGAGAGTAGAGCAGCTTCTTGCTTCATAGCAGCTTCTTTCTGCGCGAAACGTAATCTAGCTTTAGCCCCATCCAGTTTGGCTCGTTGGCGACCTAATACCGTCGATGCTGAAGATCTTTTAGAACTTGATTTAGATGACCTTCTAGAACTTACAAGGGATGGTGTTAGTTTTTCAGATGAATGTTGGTCACGAAGTTCAGCTGTCGCGTATTCAAGCTGTTTTTTGAATTTCGAAACTTTATTCACGTAGACCTCTTCAGGAATGCAAGACTTGCCTGTTCGTTGGCACTTTCAGGGGTATTGTACTTGACCAGGAAGTTCAACAATTCAACACAGAGTTTATCGTAGCGATTATATGTTTCGGTTAAACGTGACTGTAAATCAGCAATGACATCATGGGGTGTTGGGACCACACATTCAACAATACTGTCAATTTCCCTAGCAATTTTGGTTAGTTTATTCAAATAATGATCCAAGCTTTCCCTGAAAAAATGACTGGCCTCTTTCTGTCAGAGTATGTTGCCGTTTGGATGTCCATTTGTTCAGGATCGTCCTGGTTAATTTCGTCCCGTTGGTCCGAAAAAGACATGATGAAACTATATGGTTTGAAACAATTCGTTCCTGTGGGTCGAGCTGACCTTATAAATGTTCTACATTGCGTCCTCTGGACCGAGATGGTATTTCACTTTGTGTCTCTTGACTGAGTAGATTTATCATTTTGTGTCTCTAGACCGAGCAGATTTTTTAACTATCAAGCCTGTGATCGATGTAAATGAAGAACGCTTGAAGCATGTAGAAATGTTGGCTTCGATTTTATTCCAGAAAAAGCAATACTTCAAGTATGTCGCTAACACGCAGATGTCAAACGAAGTACAACATGTTGATCGATGTATGTATGTAGACCAGACTACGGATTTGAGCATGTATGTAAAGAAAAATCTTTGGGGAACTAGAGACGGTAAAATTCCTAGAATTGTACTGTGTGAATCGCTCAGCGATGAAAACACGTCCGACATCTTGAAACGTTCAGCATACGACACAGAAAATGGAAATCCCCGCTACCAAATATAGACAAGAGTTCCGAGCAGGGGGATAACTCTGTTACACTAACATGAGATTTGGTATTTTCGTTTTCATTGTCAAAACTATAGAAATCGAATTAAACAAGTAAAAATGAAACAAAATGAGAAGTGTTCAAGCTGAACTTTGACCCTGGTATTTGATGAGCCCCGTCAGTACTCTTGATGCATTTTAGATTTTTTTTCACTTTAAACACAGTCGTTTTTCTTGTAATTAATATTATGTGATAAATCATGGTAATCATCATCATCTGTTCCTTTCTGAATTAACATTTGGTCTTGCTTTCTTAAAATAAACAAACCATTTTTAGGCTAAACGTACTCAGTACGAATAGCCTATTGCGACGGTCTTTCACACAAAATTTACCGATCCTGGCCTTCTCATTGGCTGAAATATCGAAAAGAGTTAGAGCCCTCTAGCGGCAATTTTCTGCGTAAATAATGCCCCGAATTTTCAAATCGCTATTTTAAAAGCATCCAAAAAAGAGGCACGGTGTGGTTGAACTATTTATAAATTTTGAACAATATATTTTACGGAATTCTCGACATGACGTAAGCGTACAGAACACTGTACGTGCGAGTTGATGAGAAGCTAGTTTGGGGGTTTGGTTTGAATTATCAACTAACAGCACTTATAAACAAACAAAACTTACAAACAGAACATCAATTTTGCTTTAATCCTTGTCGTTGTGGCAAGATCGTCTTAATATATAACATCACTTTACCTCATTAGACGTCACAAAATTGGACTTTTCGTCCTACGCGCACACCCGCCGATATGACACTTTTTCAGGATTTTCACACCCACCGCCATGACACTTTTTCAAGTTTTTGAAGATAAAAAGTTTGCGCTTCGTAGGCAAGGTACACTTGGTGTCCATGATGTATGAATAATATATTTTTAATACTGTACTGATCATGATGTTGACTTTGTTGTCTTTTAGTTTTATTTGATGAAGGTTGATTGTGCTGATTTCTCAAGGTTTGTTAATGTGTATCAAAGTTTCTAGAAATGAAAATATTTCTTCAAACAAAGCGCGTATAAATAAACCCCAAAATATTCATGTTT